ACTCAGAAAACTGGCTTCATCCATCCATTCATTCCACAAGTGCTTATTGAGCAACTATTACATACCAAGCACTCTGCTCATTAACGAGAGAGACAACAAACGGGACAAATATCCAGCTGAATTATTTGAGTTGCAATAAATACTTGCTGAACAAATGAAGAAAATCTGAGGAACACCCCTCCTCCCAACATTAGCCCCTTGCAGCAGCAGGTGAAATGGAGATTGTGTCTCTGGAACAAGAAGACCTGGATTCTAGTCACCATTCTGCAAGGTCTAATGTAGGCAAGACCCTTGACCTCTCTCACTGGTAAAATAAGAACAGTAACCTTCGTTCTACCTCACTGGGTTGTTTTGAAGACCAAGTGGGGTCATAACATATGTGACCACATTATGTAAAATGCAAACTGCCATGTGAATGTGAAAGTTTATTACTAGGGGTTTAGACAACCACCAAGGAATGTGTAAGCCTAACAGCTATCACTTACTGCAAGCCTATTGTTTCCGATTCTGTGCTGGATGCTTTTCAACATTATCTGATTTTATCCTCGCCAAAACCCTGCATAAGAATAAGTCTCCCCGTCTGCAGATGAGGAGTAACTTGTCCAAAATGACAGAGCTAGTAAATGGAACAGGAGGAATTTGAATCGGTGTCTGTTTGGCTCCAAAGACACAGCATGTATGTGTTGTGGGCAGCTACTGGAGAATGGTTATTTCTCCCCTCATCTTCTGATGTATTTTTTTTACAGCTGAGTAGAACTATTTATTCAGCAGTGTAACACTTATAGCTTGCATTTAAAAAGCAAGAATACAAACTTCCAAAGCTGATAAATCCAGAGGTGATTTTTTTTTTTTTTTTGGTAAACCATCCAAAAAGACATTTTAAACATTATGGAATGAATGCCCTTTACTGTATGTCATAGAAGCAGACTACTGGGGGTTGGAAGGGACATTCCTTCACTGGTTGCCCAGACCATGCTCAGCACTTCCTGGGATGGGCACTCACCACCCCCCAAGAACACCCATCCCATCCTTGGATGATTTTATTAAGATGTACTCATTCATTCACTCATTATTAATTCCATAAATATATTAGCTAATATGTGATCAATATTGTATGAAGAGCTGGGGAGACAAATCTAAATAAAATTTAGTTCTAGATCTTAAGGAGCTGCATGTACGAATCCTTTGTCTTCTTGGAAATTACAGTGATCCTCACCCAGATACTGATTTACAAAAATCCAATTTATAATTTTTCATCTGTCTTCTGCCTTCACTAAGAGGATAAATTCTTTCAACTTTTAATTTCAATTTCATAAACCATGGATTTTATTTCATGCTTTCCAAGGCACAAGGACCCACTGACATCCATTTATTAAAATGAAGAAAGGAACTTTGTTTTGTGAGTCTCCCATGGACAAGCCCCTGTTCTGATTATTGTGTGGACGCAGACAGAGAAAATAGGGGTCTAAGCACTTAGAAGAACTGGATCTTTACCTGTGCACAGCTCTGTCTATTAGGTACTAAATAAGTAACCCTGGCAGTAGCTGCTAGTTGAACCAGCAGAGGCAGAGGTCACAAGCTTGGGGAGGTCAGGATTTGCTGGACGTGGCTAAGTGACAGAAAGTGAAAGACATTCCAAGAAAGGGGAGGATTGAGAGCAAACACAGGAGAAGCATGAAGCAACTGGCTCGGGGTGAGTTGGTGAAGAGGAGGATGAATGGTGGGCAGAGTCACTTGAATCATCCTTCAGGCAATGGGAAGCTCCCAAGGTTTACGTGGGGAAATGGTGCCATAAAATGAATGTTTCAGGGGTGAGCAGTATGACAGGATTAAGCATGTAGGATGGATTCTGAAATGACTGCAGTATACTCAAGGTCATCCGTTGCTTTCTGAACACGTATTTGCAGTTTAATTTTTACGTGATTGTATTGCCAAGAAATTTAAACACCACCACTGTTTTGGCACAAAAACACGACAAAATGTGTTGAGTTCCTCTTGCTGTTTTATGCAAAACAGCATAGCCTTGTCACACTGGTGTCACCCCTGCTTCTGATTTAAAATAGAAGTTCTAGACACACAGTAAGGGTCCAAAAATTGCTCGTTCTGCCAAAATGAGGAGAGCCGGTTTTTAAAGCAAAGTAGGAAAACAGATCAGGAGCCTGCTGATTCCTCCCCTTTGGGAGAGGCCCAGTGGAAACAGCCTTATCTGGGAGGCAGATCTGAATTGAGTCCTAGCTCACCCACCACAGGCTGGTGCCCTTGGGCAAGTCACTTTACTTCTGTGGGGTGGAGGGGAGGCTCAGTTCCTTCATTTGTGAAATGAGATCAAATTCGACGTTCTGGAGTCAGACAGATCTGGGTTCTACCACCTCTAGCTCTGTGATCTCTGAAATAGAGATATCTCACTAGGTTGTTGGAAGGATTTAAGGGAGGTAACATGTGTGAAATGTTAGCACACTGATCCATAGAAAACACTGCATAAGCTTTAGCTACTCTGATTTCTGGTTCTAGAATTCTGTGATCCAAGGCTACTCAACACGCAGTGATGTTGTATGGCAGGGTACCATATGGCACAACCAAAGAACTGAGGATTGATTTATTTAGCTTGCAGAAGAGAAGACCCAAGGGAGACCTAAGAACAATCTTCAAACACTTGAGAGACTTTCACGTAGAAGAGGGAAAAGATTTGTTTCTATGCTTCTCCGAAGAATTTAACTAGGCCCAGTGGGCGATGCAGTATAAATTGCTAACAATTTGAACTGTCTGCAGAACGGAATAAACTACTGCATGTGGTAGTGAGTCTCCTGTCACTGGAGGTGTTCAAACAAAAGCCAGGTGACCACTAATGATCCATGTAAAGAGCTATATGAAATGAGATCTACCTAACTAAGAGATCTTCCAATTCAGATTTTATGAAAGAACTTCTAAGACCTTTGTGATGAAACAACATTTTGGGCAACATAAGTTTCAAAAGATCAAGCCAGAATCAATATGTATACAATATTAAGCATATAATAAGGGTTCATCTGTAATAAAAAATGTTTGCTTTCCTTTTACAGTTTCCACATTTGGCTGTTGGATATTAAAGCGAAAGCATCCAAGAAAAACAAGGGCTGTTTGAAAACAACTTCTTTTCACTGTTGCCCATTTTTTTGTGTGTGCGACAAACACTCATTACAGCAAAGTCTCATGTACAGTGAAACAGGTCAGAGATAGATTTGATATTCAAAATGAAAGACTAAAAACATAAGGGATAATTTTATATTATAATAATTTTAAATAATTATGTTTGGTTTCCTGAAAGATAATGCTATCATTATTTTCTTGGGTGCAGGCACACAGTTCACAAAATTAAGGTTTTGGTTCAATTTTATTGACAATTTAGATCCTTTCTTGCGCTTAATAAAGTATTAAGCTATCAGTTAACTCATCTACATCAGCAAAGCAGATGATATAAAACAGGGGAAAACTAAGAACTCACTTAGATTAAGCCCTTGCAGACACTGTGCTTTTATTCCAGTGGTTTTACAAGGAGTTCCTACTCCCTGAGCATATCCTGAATTTAACTGTGGGGAAGACATTCGTGGTCAAAAGTGGAGACACACTGCCTCAAGATTTAAAATCTACTTCTATGACCTTGAGGAAGTCATTTAAATTGCCATGGTCTGGGTTCCCTTATCTGTAAGAAGAGAAGGTGAACTTCAACCCCTAGTGGATCGCCTCCACTTCTCACATCCTGTGGATCTAAAACCTCACCAGGAGTGATTTGCTGTGAGATGAGAACAACACAGCCATTTCTTTGAATAGTTGATGACCAGGCAACATTCAAATTGTACACACTGGGAGAAAACAATGGCTGACATAGAATGGGGACCACTGGGACTTCCCTGGTGGTCCAGTGGTAGAGAATCCACCTTCCAATGTGGGGGATGAGGGTTCGATCCCTGGTCGGGGAAGATCCCACATGCCACAGGGTAACTAAGCCCGTGCACCACAACTACTGAGCTCGCGTGCCTCAACTAGAGAGCTCGCACACTGCAATGAAGATCCCGTGTGCCGCAACGAAGATGCAGCTAAATAAATAAATAAATAAATAAACAATAAATTAAATTGATTAAATAAATAAACTAAATAAATAATAATAAATTAAAAATATAAATAAATAAATAAAAATAAATAAATAAATACTAAAAAAAGGACCACAATTTAAATCTAAGTGATATTTGGCATTTAATGAATGGCTAATTGTAGCAAGTTTTATGAAAGAAAACATTTCAAGCTTTAGTTCTGAAGAACACGTATCCCACAGTTAGCTAGTTTATTAAAGAAAAAAAAAAAATTCCCATTTTGCCAAAGTGGGGAGCCTGGGGGATAACAGAATTCCAAAGAGGAACAGACTAAGAATTCCCAGTAGTTAACATTTGTCATTATAATTGACCCTGCTGGTCTATCTTGAGCTTAGTGGTTCAGTACAGAGATACAATGAAATGGAATCCAATTTATTATCAAACCGACAACAGAATTAGTCATGTGAGTAAAGACCAGTGTCAAATCCCTATCCTCTTCCTCTTTCCTTCTGTGGTGGCTGTGGAGTGACTGTCAGCATCCTACCAGGACCAGGTATCACAGCTGAGTTATTACTCACCCCCTTCCCCGCCCCGCCAATCAGTACCACTGAAGGGACACTTTTGAGGAGACTGGAGGCAGGATTGTGGGGCTACTCTCTTTCAACATGTTCACTCATCCCTTGGGAGATGCTCAATAGTTACTTACACTGAAATATTTACAGAATTTTTGGCAAAACCATATAAGCCAAACACAAAGTATACTGAGAAAGAATTCTGACCACTGAATAGTTTTTTCAAAACAACAATATGTTTATATTTCATTTAACATTTGACACAGAAGAGGCCACATTTAAATAAACACATGAAATCTTCAGAGAACTTTAACTGCAGTTTTGCACCTTGGATATGACAAATACTCATATAAGATGCTTCCATAATTGCTTTTGTGATTTATTTTTATTTTTACAAATTATACCATGATAAAACATAATAAAAATTTCTCATATGAAATATCTTTAACATTTTACAAGTTAATCAAATGCATACCACAATAGATTTTGCTGTTGTTGTTGTTGTTTAAATAGGGAGTTCTCATGATTTTAGTATTATACAAATTTAAGTTGAGATTACACTCAGAAAGTTTAGAAAATGGCATTACAAAAGACTGGGAGTGAGCAGTGAAAATAAAAACCAAACCCATGCAGGACTTCTCTGCAGTAATAAATCAGATGTTTTCACTGCCACAAGTCTTCAGTGCGGCCAAACTTAAAAATGAGTCCTCTGTGAATAAAATAAGAAACATCATATGACTAGCTGAGTTTGGTAAAAGAAAGACTGTGTGAGATTTAGAATTGTGGGAAACTAACAATAAAGAATAATTGATAAGTTGTATGGAAAAAACCCATGGGATGTATCAGAACAGAAACTGATCATTCTAAGGTAGTAAATTCTTTCACTGTGCTCAGCTGTGCTATTTACCACTAGCTTCCCTGTATCCTTAACTTCTAAGTTTGGAGACATATGTCCCTCCTAAAAATTTAACCAATGTTTAGCATGTAACCATTATATGTCTGATTTTATCTAATTCATTCAACAAGCCTTTTCTTTTTTAACATCTTTATTGGAGTATAATTGCTTTAAAATGGTGTGTTAGTTTCTGCTTTATAAAAAAGTGAATCAACTATACATATACATATATCCCCATATCTCCTCCCTCTTGCGTCTCCCTCCCACCCTCCCTATCCCACCCCTCTAGGTGGTCACAAAGCACCGAGCTGATCTCCCTGTGCTATGTGGTTGCTTCCCACTAGCGAGCTATTTTACATTTGGTAGTGTATATATGTCCCTGCCACTCTCTCACTTTGTCCCAGCTTACCCTTCCCCCTCTCCGGATCCTCAAGTCCATTCTCTACATCTGAGTCTTTATTCCTGTCCTGCCCCTAGGTTCTTCAGAACCTTTTTTTTTTTTTTTTTAGATTCCATATATATATATGTGTTAGCATACCGTATTTGTCTTCCTCTTTCTGACTTACTTCACTCTGTATGACAGTCTCTAGGTCCATCCACCTCACTGCAAATAACTCAATTTCGTTTCGTTTTATGGCAGAGTAATATTCCACTGTAATATGTGCCACATCTTCTTTATCCATTCATCTGTTCACGGACACTTAGGTTGCTTCCACGTCCTGGCTATTGCAAATAGTGCTGCAATGAACATTATTGTACATGTATCTTTTTGAATTATGGTTTTCTCAGGGTATATGCCCAGTAGTGGGATTGCTGGGTCATATGGTAGTTCTATTTTTAGTTTTTTAAGGAACCTCCATACTGTTCTCCATAGTGGCTGTATCAATTTACATTCCCACCAACAGTGCAAGAGGGATCCCTTTTCTCCACACCCTCTCCAGCATTTGTTGTTTATAGATTTTGTGATGATGGCCATTCTGACTGGTGTGAGGTGATTACCTCATTGTAGTTTTGATTTGCATCTCTCTAATAATTAGTGATGTTCAGCATCCTTTCATGTGTTTGTTGACAGTCTGTATATCTTCTATGGAGAAATATTTTTTTGAGGATTTTTGCATCTATGTTCATCAGCGATATTGGCCTGCAGTTTTCTTTCTTTGTGACATCTTTGTCTGGTTTTGGTATCAGGGTGATAGTACCCTCATAAAATGAATTTGGGAGTGTTCCTACCCCTGCTATATTTTGGAAGAGTTTGAGAAGGATAGGTGTTAGCCCTTCTCTAAATGTTTGATAGAACTCGCCTGTGAAGCCATCTGGTCCTGGGCTTTTGTTTGTTGGAAGATTTTAAATCACAATTTCAATTTTAGTGCTTGTCATTGGTCTGTTTATATTTTCTATTTCTTCCTGGTTCAGTATCGGAAGGTTGTGCTTTTCTAAGAATTTGTCCATTTCTTCCAGGTTGTCCATTTTATTGGCATAGAGTTGCTTGTAGTAATCGCTCATGATCTTGTGTATTTCTGCAGTGTCAATTGTTACTTCTCCTTTTTCATTTGTAATTCTGTTGATTTGTCTTCTCCCTTTTTTTCTTGATGAGTCTGGCTAATGGTTTATCAATTTTGTGAATCTTCTCAAAGAACCAGCTTTTAGTTTCATTGATCTTTGCTATTGTCTCCTTCATTTTTTTTCATTTATTTCTGATCTGATCTTTATGATTTCTTTCATTCTGCTAACTTTGGGGTTTTTTTGTTCTTCTTTCTCTAATTGCTTTAGGTGTAAGGTTAGGTTGTTTAATTGAGATGTTTCTTGTTTCTTGAAGTAGGATTGTGTTGCTATAAACTTCCCTCTTAGAACTGCTTTTGCTGCATCCATAGGTTTTGGGTTGTCGTGGGTTTTTTTTGTTTGTTTTTTTTGCAGTACGCGGGCCTCTCACTGTTGTGGCCTCTCCCACTGCGGAGCACAGGCTCCGGATACGCAGGCTCAGCGGCCATGGCTCAGGGGCCCAGCTGCTCCGCGGCATGTGGGATGTTCCCAGACCGGGGCACAAACCCGTGTCCCCTGCATCAGCAGGCGGACTCTCAACCACTGTGCCACCAGGGAAGCCCGGGTTGTCGTGTTTTCATTGTCATTTGTTTCTAGGTATTTTGATTTCCTCTTTGATTTCTTCAGAGATCTCTTGATTATTTAGTAGTGTATTGCTTACCCTCCATGTGTTTGTATTTTTTATAGATTTTTTCCTGTAATTGATATCTAGTCTCATAGCATTGTGGTCGGAAAAGATACTTGATACAATTTCAATTTTCTTAAATTTACCAAGGCTTGATTTGTGATCCAAGATATGGTCTATCCTGGAGAACGTTCCATGCGCACTTGAGAAAAGTGTATTCTGTTGTTCTTGGATGGAATGTCCTATAAATATCAATTAAATCCATCTTGTTTAAAGTATCATTTAAATCTTGTGTTTCCTTATTAATTTTCATTTTGGATGATCTGTCCATTGGTGAAAGTGGGGTGTTAAAGTCCCCTACTATGATTGTGTTACTGTTGATTTCCCCTTTTATGGCTGTTAGCATTTGCCTTATGTATTGAGGTGCTCCTATGTTGGGTGCATAAATATTTACAATTGTTACATCTTCTTCTTGGATTGATCCCTTGGTCATTATATAGTGTCCTTCTTTGTCTCTTGTAATTGTCTTTAAAGTCTATTTTGTCTGGTATAAGAATTGCTACTCCAACTTTCTTTTGATTTCCATTTGCATGGAGTATCTTTTTCCATCCCCTCACTTTCAATCTGTATGTGTCCATAGGTCTGAAGTGGGTGTCTTGTAGACAGCATATATACGGGTCTTGTTTTTGTTATCCATTCAGCCAGTCTATGTCCTTTGGTTGGAGCATTTAATCCATTTACATTTAAGGTAGTTATCGATATGTATGTTCCTATTACCATTTTCTTAATTGACTTGGGTTTGTTATTGTAGGTCTTTTCCTTCTCTTGTGTTTCCTGCCTAGAGAAGTTCCTTTAGCATTTGTTGTAAAGCTGGTTTGGTGGTGCTGAATTCTCTTAGCTTTTGCTTGTCTGTAAAGGTTTTAATTTCTCCATCGAATCTGAATGAGTATTGAGTATGTGTCATACTCATCATATGAGTATGCTGGGTAGGGTAATCTTGGTTGTAGTTTTTTCCCTTTCATCACTTTAAATATGTCCTGCCACTCCCTTCTGGCTTGCGGAGTTTCTGCTGAAAGATCAGCTGTTAACCTTATGGGGATTCCCTTGTATGTTATTTGTTGTTTTTCCCTTGCTGCTTTTAGTATTTTTTCTTTGTATTTAATTTTTGATATTTGATTACTGTGTGTCAGCGTGTTTCTCCTTGGATTTATCCTGTATGGGACTTAACTATTTCCTTTCCCATACTAGGTAAGTTTTCAACTATAATCTCTTCACATATTTTCTCAGTCCCTTTCTTTTTCTCTTCTTCTTCTGGGACCTCTGTAATTTGAATGTTGGTGTGTTTAATGTCCCAGAGGTCTCTGAGACTGTCTTCAATTCTTTTCATTCTTTTTTCTTTATTCTGCTCTGTGGTAGTTATTTCCACTATTTTATCTTTGAGGTCACTTAACCATTCTTCTGCCTCAGTTATTCTATTGATTCCTTCTAGAGATATTTTTTTGTTTGTTTTTGTTTTTGTTTATTTATTTATTTTTTAACATCTTTATTGGGGTATAATTGCTTTACAATGGTGTGTTAGTTTCTGCTTTATAACAGAGTGAATCAGTTATACATATACATATGTTCCCATATCTCTTCCCTCTTTGTCTCCCTCCCTCCCACCCTCCCTATCCCACCCCTCCAGACAGCCACAAAGAACCGAGCCGGTTTCCCTGTGCCATGCGGCTGCTTCCCACTGGCTATCTACCTTACGTTTGTTAGTATATATATGTCCATGTCTCTCTCTCGCCCTATCACACCTCACCCTTCTTCTAGAGATATTTTAATTTCATTTCTTGTGTTATTCATCACTGTTTGTTTGCTCTTTAGTTCTTCTAGGTCCTTGTTAAACATTTCTTATATTTTCTCCATTGTATTTCCAAGATTTTGGATCATCTTTACTATCATTGCTCTGAATTCTTTTTCAGGTAGACTGCCTATTTCCTCTTCATTTGTTTGGTCTGGTGGGTTTTTACCTTGCTCCTTCATCTGCTGTGTGTTTCTCTGTCTTCTCATTTTGCTTAACTTACTGTGTTTGGGGTCTCCTTTTTGCAGGCTGCAGGTTCGTAGTTCCTGTTGTTTTTGGTCTCTGCCCCCAGTGGCTAAGGTTGGTTCAGTGGGTTGTGTAGGCTTCCTGGTGGAGGGGACTGGTGCCTGTGTTCTGGTGGATGAGGCTGGATCTTGTCTTTCTGGTGGGCAGGACCACATCCAGTGGTGTGTTTTGGGGTGTCTGTGACCTTATTATGATTTTAGGCAGCCTCTCTGCTAATGGGTGGGTTTGTGTTCCTGTCTTGCTAGTTATTTGCCATGGAATGTCCAGCACTGTAGCTTGCTGGTCCTTGAGTGGAGCTGGGTCTTAGCATTGAGATGGAGATCTCTGGGAGAGCTCTCACCGTTTGATATTATGTGGAGCTGGGAGGTCTCTGATGGACCAATGTCCTGAACTCGGCTCTCCCACCTCAGAGGCAAAGGCCTGACACCTGGCCAGAGCGACAAGACCCTGTCAGCCACACAGCTGCTGCCATTTTCCCCTGGCCAACAAGCCTTTTTTAAGTCGAGGTGCTAGGTGCTAGAAGCTAGGGCTATAAAAGTAAAGATACAGTCCCTGCTTTCAAGTTGCTCATGTTCTTGATGACACAATGTGGTAGTATAGGGGGTGGGGGTGGAGAGACACATGTTAAGGGAGCAGAGAACATATGGGAATTTATTTTGCCTGAATGTGTTAGAAAAGGATTTACAGAGGATGTAATATTAGATGAGTTTTGAAGGATAAGCAGGAGTTTGAGTGGGAGGTTGGAGGAACAGAAGCTAGTGGGATGATGAAGGAAGATGTTTCAGGGAGAGGAAAAGGAAAAGTAGATCAAAAGGCAAAGAGGAATAAAAGACCATGGGGCCTCAGGACAAGCCCAGGAGATGGATGTGTCAGGAAATGCCCTCACAGAGCTTACACTCTAGGTTTTAGTTTGGGAAGTATCTATAGTTGTCTTCAAGGCTTCAGCTTAAGAGGGCAGAGTGGGATTATATGCATAAGAATACGCATACACACACACATATATATATCTCAATATAAATATCTGTGGTGTAGTAAAGCAGTGGAGAGTCCAATATGGCGAGTATAGTTTAAGAATCAAGGAGGATGAGGAACGGCAGTGGCCCAATTTGGTAAGCCAACTGACCAGGGTGGCAAATTGTCCACAGGGGCCTTTGGTGCCTTAGATGAGTCAAGGGGGCAGGCACCAGCCTGTGATCTATTAAAGGGGCAGATGGTACTCGGGCCCAGGCAATGCATGAGATGGGACTATGCAGAGATGCATCCCCCATTAAAAGAAACAACTTTAGCTCCAGCGGATTGTTGCTGAGCAGGGCCCAGGGTTGTTAGATCCTCTAGTTTTTCAAGAAAGGCCCCAAATTCCAATTTTTGATGAAATCTCTTGATATTTAAATGTCAGCTCAATAAAACAAAAAATACTGTATAGGCTAAATAAAACAGAATTGTGGGCAGAATTTGGTTGGATGGTCATTAGTGGTGACCTCTTCTGTAGACAGCTCCAAGTTCTGGAAAATTTTAAAACAGGAAATGACAGGCTTAGAGCTTTGTTTTAGAAGGAAACCTGACATAGGAAAACTGGATCCAAGAGAGGTATCAGTCAAGGATGTGAAGTGCTCAGGAAGGGATGAGGACGACAAAACATAACAATGGAAATAGACAAAAAGAGAACAGGTTTAAGACAATTCAGAAGCAGACTCATCATCAGGGCTTGGATGTGGGGAGTAAGTGCAAGGGAGAAATGAAGAGAGGAGTGGACGCTTCAATGACATCTGCTGGTTTTTATCTGTTTTCCAATCTCCAGTGTATACTCAAGGTTAAACCCTCAATCAAAATGGTTGATTTAAAACAGGTTTCATAGGGAATTCCCTGGCGCTCCAGTGGTTAGGACTCTGCGCTACCACTGCAGGGGGCCCAGGTTCGATCCCTGGTGGGGGAACTAAGATCCTGCAAGCCTAGCAGCACGGCCAAAAAATAAAAAAAAAACAGGTTTCATAGGTCTTTATAAAGGTATACACCTGAGTGTTTTTTGATGAAAACAAAAATGCAACCAGGGGAAAAAAAAAAAAAGTGCAACCAGGAAGTCATCTATACCCTCTCTTGGAAGAATATGAATTTCTCTTTATAAAGGATTTCATAAACCTCCAAAGAATGATCTGATCTCTGCTCTTCCAGGTAATATCAAACCTACTGCTGCAAAAAAAGAAAAACCAAAGTTGGATATTAGGGACCCTACTCTCCAGAGAGCTTAAGAGATGTGGTAACTTCAGCACACTGGTCACCAGATGTAAACTATAATCTCAATAGTTTCTTGGGAAGAGCCAGTCCCTCCTACATTGTCAGATGGTCACCTTTGGTACTGACATCTGTTTCTGAAACAGTAATTTCTAAGCTGTTGCTGAGAATTGTTCTGTTATAAATCAAAATGGTAGGCAATCTTCTAACAATGGTGTCTATTAGTTGAATTTAATTTCGATTTGCTTACAGTATTTTCACAAAACCAGATTAGTTTTTAGACTTAATAGATAGAACAGTAATAAATGAGAAATTAACCAAACTCACTGCATAGAAAAGTAATTTATTATAACTAATTTGAGACAATGACAAGTCACTGATCGGTTTCCAAGGTTTTGTGAAATGTGATAACTACCATATGAACTTAACGTGTTTCTTCCCTCATTGGAAAAGATAAAAGTTTCCCACAAATCTTCTCTCAATCCTCTGGTTCCTCCCTGCTGTGACAGAGTAACTTCTCTGCCAAAAACAGCATCTCAGGGTGGAACTTACTTTATCCTCTACCTCTGCCAGAGAAAATAATGATTAAAATAAGAAGGCTGCTGTTTGCCCTTCCTTGGCTGGTTCTCGTAAATCCCCTCCCTACCACTCCATCCTGAAGCTTTTCTAACCCCTGCCTCTGACCCTGTTACACTGCCTTCCTTTGGCTGAAGCTGTGGGGCACTGAATTCCCCTGAGCACCTCTAACCCTGTGGAGATGCTGGAGTAGTGAGCTCAGGGTGCCTGGTCCTTCTTTAAAGACGCCCAAGCCTCAGCATTGCAGCTTGAAAGGAAAAGAAATCATAAATATCAACACTGTCCCTCTCATAAACACATGCTACATTACCCTATAAAATAACAAACTTACCCATATTTGCCAAATTTGCATAACCTGTGGAGTGAGGTTTGTTCACTTTGTATTTTTCAAGTACAGTGTTATACTAAGCAACTGGTTGAAGATTCAGCAAAAGGAGAAAATGTCAATTAAATTCATTCCAAATTTCAAATTTCACCCTCATAGTAGCTGAAGACTGAACTTTGAAGTCAGAGAGCCTGAATTTTAGCCACATGATCTCAAACATGAGCTCTGTGCCTGTTTCTCACGTATAAAATGGTGATAATAATGGAGCCACCTTCCGAGTTGTGTTGGGGATTAACTGAGAGCACACATGTAACACTAAGATGATGCCTTGCCCATAAAAAGTGCTCAATAAACTTTGGTCATTATTATTTTCTGCACAAAAATCAATGGACTTTTTTTTTTTGCGGTACGCGGGCCTCTCACTGTTGTGGCCTCTCCCGTTGCAGAGCACAGGCTCCGGATGCACAGGCTCAGCGGCCATGGCTCACGGGCCCAGCCGCTCCGCGGCATGCGGGATCTTCCCGGACTGGGGCACGAACCCGTGTCCCCTGCATCAGCAGGCGGACTCCCAACCGCTGCGCCACCAGGGAAGCCCTGGCCTAACATTTTTAAAAAACTCTTTGGGTTTTTTCCACTAGTTTCAAGATGCAAGGTATGACCCAAAGAGGCTGTGGATCTTGCCACGTGTAAGTTCACATTTTTCTTATTTCTAAACTGATTTTATAAAATTGCAAAACTGTTTTGTGGTAGAACGGAAAAAGTGTGAATACCAACTGCTGACTATTATTAAAGGGCAACTGTTAGCATTTCATGAGTGGTTCAAGTAGATATGGGGCATCTATTTCCTTTTAGGAGGTGGGTGGGAAGGGACAGGGAAGGAAAAGTCCTAGAATAGACTGTCCTAGAATATACAGCATATAAAGAAGATACAGAATATAAAGGTTTTTTTTTAAAACCTTTTTTGGATTAAGGACATCTTTGAAAATCTGATGAAAGCCACAGACTCTCTTCCCAGAAACAAGCAGAAAAGCCAATGTCTTGCATACAGAAATACCTGGTGGTTCCTAATCTTCAGAAGCCTACCCATGGAACGGAAGTTAAGAACTCCTGATACACAGGATAAAGAGAAGTTTTTGTTGTTGTTGTTGTTTTGGGGGGGAGGGGTTGAGTGGGAGGCCAGGGATAGGGGAAAGAGCAGGCCCTAAGTGTCCAGGAAAGAATGAACATTAGAAAAGATTAGTGATAAAAGAATTAAGGTCTTAGCAATCTTTTAATTTGTCATTGCATCAGAAGGATAAAATAAGGTCAGGGCTTTTCCTCTACCCCTCAAATGTCACAAATTCTCATGACACCAAGGATAGTAAGAACCATAAAATGCATTCAGAAACAAAATTTTAAGAAGAAATGATTTTACGCAGGCTTTCATTAAAAGCAACTGTTGGAGATACAGATTTTAAATGAACAGTGCCAGTGTTATGTAACTAAATCTACACAAATCACAGTTCTTCGTTAAAGGGGAGGTGGTGGCAATTTTAACAAATCGATGTATGTTCCCAAGGTGGGCAGCAAGCCAACCCATGTAGTAAAAATATCTTTCTCAGTCTCATTCTTCGTATTTTATGACACTAACATGGGGAAGGGGCATTAGACGGGGAAATTAAGCAACTAAATATAGTAAATGACATAAAATAAACCATAATTTTAAAAAAAGATAGGATGAAGAATGCAAAACAAACTTACCCAAAAAAGATGAAGGCATTTTGGAAAAATACAGCAATTCCAGGGTATACTATGGCTTTTTCTGTAAAAGTAATTATAATATTTAGAGGTTTATGATCTCAACACATTGTTTCTGATAAACTGGTGAATATCAGTTTTCCTGCCTAACATAATTGATTTTTCTGGTAACTATGGTTGGTGTGGGCATTAAATGACATAATACATATGACAGAGTGTAGCGCTGGTAGCCTCCTTCATTTATTTAACAAATACTGGGTACATATTATGTGCCAGCACGGTTCAATGTGCTGAGGATACTGCAGTACATAAAACAGGCAAAGTGTTTGCCTTCACGGAGCTAGAGAATACCAAGAATAAATAAGGAGAAAAAGCAGGAAAGGTATAGGAAATGTAGTGAATGATGGTATTTTATACAGGTGGCCAGAAAAACCACATGAGAAGGTGACACTGGCATAAGGACATGAAGAAAGAAGTAGGGGCAGGAGCCATGCAGAAGCAGCAGAACAACAAGTGCAAAAGCCCTGGGGTGGGAGTGGTCTGGTACATTAGAGGAATGGTCACGTGGGCCAAAGAGAGAAAAGCAGGAGACAGATCAGAGAAGTACGAGGGGCAGGCTGGGAGGTGCAGATCCTCTAGAGCCTTGCAGTAATGGTGAGGACTTTGATTTTCACTCTGGGTGAGAGGAAAAGCCATTGGAGGGTTTTGAGCAGAAAAGTGACCTGAGCTGACACATTTCAATAGGATCCTGCTGGTTGCTGTGCTGACAGTAGACTAAAGGGAGGAAGGGGAGAAACAGAAACCAGTGAGGCGGCTATTTTAAGAAATCAGGCCACAGACTATAATGGATTGAACCAGGGTGGGAGCCATGGAGAAGGTAAAAAGTGGTCAGACGCAAGACCACTTTTTTTAATAGCAGAATCAACAGGATTTGCTGATGGACTGGGGTGTGTGGGATGTGAGAGAAAGAGGTGTCATCCTTGACAGGCCTTAACCACCCAGGTTTTGGGCTTAAACACCTGGATAGAGAAAGCAGCCCCTAACTAAGATGGCCAAGACTGCCAGAGGACCATTTTGTCCCCATTTTATCCTCGACTGAAGTTGAAATTCTCATAAATTTCTACTACTGGAACTGTTAATCATCACTGACTAATTGACAAACTGAGGCATGATGGATAGATGAATAGCAACTTTTTCTCATAATAGTTTTAAATTAATCTGATTACCATAGCCACTGGTTTGTACAGGCCTTCTCTACTAGAAGGCCACATTAAATATTCCACATTAAACAACTACTAACACTAGAATGACTCATAAAGATCCTATATAAAGGCAACTTTATAAAATTCCAGATCTGCTGCTAATAATTCTCAAAGCATAACCTGGCTTCAGAAGCCTTTAGGAAAATAACTTAAAAGTCTATGAGATGGGGCTTCCCTGGTGGCGCAGTGGTTGAGAATCTGCCTGCCAATGCAGACGACACAGGTTCGAGCCCTGGGCTGGGAAGATCCCACATGCCATGGAGCAACTGGGCCCGTGAGCCACAATTACTGAGCCTGCGCGTCTGGAGCCTGTGCTCCGCAACAACAGAGGCCGCGATAGTGAGAGGCCTGCGCACCGCGATGAAGAGGGACCCCCACTTGCCACAACTAGAGAAAGCCCATGCACAGAAATGAAGCCCCAACCCAGCCATAAATAAATAAATAAATAAATAAATAAATACATTGTGTATTATTTAAAAAAAAAAAAAAAAAAAGTCTATGAGATGAACACATTCCTACAAAAAGGGGCTCTGTATTAATAGTTGTATCTAGGAAAGAAGAATTATCAGTAATTTTAGTTTCCTCTTTGAGCTCTTTTATATTCTCAATTTTCTACAATGAAAAAGAATTATGCACTTCACATGATAAAAAAGTAACATTTTTGTTTCTAAAATATGATGGTGATAGATTTTATAGCAGCAAGAAAACTACTTATGATATCATGTTAAATGCAAAAGGCTAGGTTCAAAATTATATTTATACTATGATTATAACTACTTAAAAAACGCAAGATATCAAAGGAAATATACCAAAATATTTAGGAGTAGGAAGATTATTATAGTTTTTTTCTTTCTTTTCTACATTTTTAGTAACATGGTTTTATAATAAATTATATAAATAAAAGAAAAAATATAAATATTTAAAATTGCCTATCATTCCTATCTGTAAGATTAAAACAATTTTAATAAAAAATCAGGAAACCAATGATTTCAATCCAAGAATTACATTTTATTCAAAGAAATAAAATGTTAAAATATGAGCTAGCTTAGATCTCTGCTGGTCTAGTTTGGCAAGTCATTAATATTATATTTTTACTATGATAGGCATCGTCAATTTTACTCAGAACATTAAATGGATTTCATGTTTTTCTGGGGTCCCTCAAGGCAAAATTTCAGCCAGGGACCCAAAAGCAGGTCTTTTCCTAGCTTGCCTTAATCTGGCCTTATATAGCAGATACGCCTTAAATGTTAATTTGCTTTTCTGTCTAAAAGAAGATGCTATCATATTATCAGGGAGCTTTGGCTCAATAAATTTCAATTCTAGGGTGTTAGAGCTTTGCCTGGATATTATTCAGCAAGTCAAAACTTGCCAAATAGCTGGACAACATATGTGCTCTGCTTTTGAGGTTTTTGGAAGCCAAAGAGAAACAAGGTATAGAGCTGTGTCCCATTCCTTCCAGGCCTCTAGATTAGAAAATACAGAAGAAAGGCACACTAAAAACACAGCAAACAAACAAAACAAATACAGATGGGGGAGGAGAGCTCCCAGGCACAAATGCCTTGCTGGTATGAAAAAAGCTTTATTCTAAAAAACACCAACTTTAACACAAAATTTCAGTATTCCATTGAAGTAAAATAAAAACTGCGTTTTCTCTTACCTTTAGCAACATACCCTCCAAAAAGAATCCACATAGATGCGATCAGAGAGCCAAAGGCCAACATGAAACCAATGAACAGCCAAATGCGAGCACCTTAAGGAAAATAATATTTTACCGGAATTGTTTCTCAAATGACAGCAGTCAGTTCAATTAACTTTTCAAAGAGAAGACAAAACCCAAAGAGAAAAACATGTGTAGTTGCCATTAAAGTCTAAAGCAAGAACAGTGAAAAATGTGCTGAGTATCATCAGTGTGGACGTTGGCTCTTTTCCTGTTGGTTGGTTGGTCTGTATATTCTAAGTGCCTATGCTTACTTTCCCCAACTATGACACTGAGAAAAACTTTACTCTCCCTTCCTATATAAATCTCATGAAATATGTTTCACCATATTTAGAAGCTCAGTCTCCAAGTATTTTTAGAAATTGTGCTCCAAAGTTTAAAGCCCTCCAAGAGAACTTTCAAACAATAACATAGGTATACTTAACAAAAAATTCATATTCAGTGATATGTGAACCTAAACACTACCGTATTTCCCTTTCAGGCAAGTCAGACAGCAAAGCAAATTCAAATTTAGTGTGGCTGGCACTTAGGACTAAGCTGCATTAAAATTATGTTAACAGAGAAAGACAACCAACTTATAAATCACATTACACAATATTTCTGAAGATTTGATATGAAATAAATGGAGTCATTAGATGGCCTAAAATGAATTCTGAGATGAGTTTGTTTAATTAGCACAAATACATTTTAATAAAAACACTGCCCTGCTCAATAAAGCACAGCAAATAGAATGTTATAAATTTCTGATTTCATACCCAAAACATAAAATAGTTCTGAAATAATAAGCTGTTACTCATAGATGAGATACTAAAACAAATACAACTAGCTCTGGACCCCCAAAGCTGTGCTAGCTAACAAATTTTATTTATGGATGTGATTGCCACACTCTATCTAGTCTTAGCTCAAGCTATTATTGGCTTATTATTACCAACACTAACTGCTAACGTTCATCTCTTTGTTTAGAGTTTACAAGGTTGTGGTATGCCGGTATTTCTGTATCTCTTCTACTTAAGTTGATCTACAAAGAGAGTGAACCAAAGGAGAGTCTGAAAGCATAGACCAGAGCTGACTACTGCAGTTTCTCATTTCATTAGGGAAAGAAAAAAACAGTCACCTGAAATTTGCCTATATCCAAGTTTATTTTTGTATGGATATAATATTTTACCATTTAAACTGCTCAATAAATATCTGTCCCCTCAAATCTCTGACTAAATTGCACCCTACAGGAAGCTGTGCTACACGTATCCTGTATTCTGCCTACCTTGGGTACATGGCCATGGGGTTCAGGGGATATGAGTTCCTTAGTTGAGCAGGGCAGGCCTGGGTGAATCTAAGCACTAAAATTCTATTATTCTATTCAGTTTTGCAAGATTAAAAGAGTTGCACAACAAAAATGAATGCACCTACTACTGAACTGTATACTTAAAAATAGTTAAGATGGTAAATTTGATGTTGTGTATTTTAAAACACACCAAAAAACTATGACTCTAAGCTATTTCAAAATGCTAATTCAATCAAGTAAGGTTGGCAGAAAAGGGAAGAAAATAATTTATATAGTATAGCTTCTTAAAAAATAATAATAATAATTAATTTGGCTGCGCTGGGTCTTAGTTGCGGCACGCAGAATCTGCACTGCTGTGTGTGGGACCTTTCTTGCAACGTGCAGGATCTTTAGTTGTGGCATGTGGGCTCTAGTTCCCTGACCAGGGATCCAACCCAGGCCCCCTGCATTGGGAGCACCAAGTCTTAACCACTGGACCATCAGGGAAGTCACGGTACAGCCTCAAGTAGCAGAAATTCTATTTTGCACATGTATTCTTTATTATATACTGTTCTTTACTGTACTCTGTATACATTTATATCCACATATTATTGCACAGGGTTATATATTCAAAACCGTGCATATATTTAAAAATACTATTCGGCAATCTTTGATCAAATGTGACTTTTACCTTAGGCCTTGGAACCTATGACCTCTCCTTGGAACCTATAACCTATCTCTGATCTGAAGGTGTCAGACAAGTGGCCCTTCCATGTATAATTCTCATTTTAAGGGTGTATAGTAAAATGTCGTTTGCACCTATTTACCTGTTTGACCCAGGCAACCTTCACTGTAACTATCACCTCGCACTTGTCCATTCGATACTGCATTAATCCTGTGTGAATACAATAAAACCAAGAGATCAGGGTCTCCGACTCTTAACAGGAAATTATATGACATCAAATTACCAGGTACAATAAGCTAGAGTTCTGCACATTTAAGGTAAGTCTTCGTAAGTCTTGAGTAATGGGTTTATACACCTTAGGCAAATCCCCTCAACCAGATATCCTGTAACGCAGTGGCCATAGTCCCCAGACCAGCAGAATCAGCGTCACCTGGGAATTCTTTAGAAAGAAAATTCCCCGGCTCCAGCCCAAATTTACTGAAGCAGAAGCTCTGGGGATGGGACCCCAGCAATCTGAATTTTAACAAATCCTTCAGGTGATTCTGATGCTTGTTAAAATTTGAGGGTGAAATTCTCAAAATTATATCTTGCTAAGATTGGAAGGATCTTTAGCTTGGTCCTATCTAGTTTTCCACGTGTACATATCAGACATACTCAACGTGAAGAGATGCAAGTGGTAAAATCTTGTTTTCTCAATCCCTGTTACACATTCCAGACATAAGAAGTCTTTTGCTGACTTTCACAGAATACTAAATTGAGATAGCCTTGCTTTCTATAGAAGTACCCTCTGAAATTTTTAAAATATCACGGGAAACTGTTCACAAGACATCAAGTTAAGAAGTTAGAAAACTATATATGTGTGTATGTGTGTGTGTATCTCCATTTAACTGTGTATGTGTGAGTGTCTACTGCTAGAAAGACACGGGGCTGTGTCTATCTTCTCTCTCACTTTTAGTCTCAGTGCCTAGCACAGGGATTGGCACATAGTAGGTGCTGAATACATGAACCCTAATTTTTTCACAACAACATAAAGTCTTAATTTATTCATTCAAATCTAAGTTTTAAAAAGAATGATCAAAATACTCTTAATTATTTTCAGTGATCTCTTGTAAGTTATTTGGTACAAAAACAAATACATTTTAAAACAAGTTTCATATTTTTAAACAATGCAGATGTTCTTGGGCTAGTGGCTATTGGCTCTTCTTTTTCCTTGCTGAGCCACCTGAACACACTTCACAGCTCTCTGTGGGACAGCCATGACCCTGCCTCGTCAGTCTTCACCACTAGGCACATCCTCGAATGAACAACCTCTTTTTGTTCTCTGGTATTACTGGTTTTATACATATCTCAAACTTATAGAAAAGTCCCAAGTATAGTTCAAATAAATTTGTTTTCCTGAAATATTTGAAACTTGCCAACATGATGACCCATAACCCCAGAAATCTGTATGTATTTCCTATAAATGAGACAGTTCTATCGAATAATACAACCATCAAGATCAGGAAATTAACAATGATCCATTCCCATTAGCTAACCATCACACCTCATCCAAGTTCCCAGGTTGTCCCAATAATGCTCTAAATAGTAAAAGGATCTGGTCCAGAACCATGAGGGACATTTTGTTCTCCTGCCTCTTTAGTCTCCTCAGTCTGGACAGTTCTGCAGTCTTCTCTGGCTTTTATGACCTTGACCCTTTACTCCAGCCATACTGGTCCCCTTGCCATACGGCCTTTGTGCTTGCTCTTCCGTCTGTCTGGAATGATCCTCTCTTACGTATCTCCATGATCGGGCCCTTCACTTCTTCAAATCTGTACTTAAAAATCACCTTCCGGTAAGGCCTTCCTTGACTCTATTTAAAATTTCTGCACCCTCTGCTGACATCTCATATCCCCGCCTCTGCTTTTTCTCTCTAGCACTTATCATTATCTTACATGCTATATATTTAATTTATTTCTCTTTAGTTACAATCTGCCTCACTCATTAAGGTATAAATTCCATAAAGGCATGGATTTTCCTGTTTTATATACTGTATTTACTGTACCTAGAGCAGAGCCTGGGAATATAAAAGCTTAATAAACATTTGTTGGATGAATGAATAAACAAACTCTTAGACAAAGTATATGGTTTCTGATGTGAAAGTAAAGTTATAAACACTGGCAGCCTAGAAATAAAAGGATAGCTGAGAGAAGCTGGGAGACAGAAGTGGGAGAGGAGAGGTGGAAGGAAGAAAAGAAGCCTCCTGCTTTTCTTCATCAGTCCTTCTCTATGATTTGACTTTTTTTGTTGTTGTTGTTGCGGTACGTGGGCCTCTCACAGTTGTGGCCTCTCCCATTGCAGAGCACAGGCTCCGGACATGCCGGCTCAGCGGCCATGGCTCACGGGCCCAGCCGCTCCGCGACATGTGGGATCTTCCTGGACCGGGACACCCAGACACGAACCCGTGTCCCCTGCATCGGCAGGTGGACTCTCAACCACTGCGCCACCAAGGAAGCCCTATGATTTGACTTTTAAACCATGTCCCATATGTTAATTTGGTAACACTTTAAAAATTTAACTCTACTCAACTGTATGTAAAATATTTTTCTTTTGTGACAATCTGTAAGTCATGTCACTAACAATGACACTTACATTAGGAAGGCTATGGTTGCTATAACACCACAGGCATGGTAGGAGTGGTTGAACTCTTCCATGCTGGGATAAATGACAGCTGCATCTATGATAATCCACCAGCCTGTAAAAAACTAAAACAAACAAACCACAAAAAGGAGAAATTGCAGTTATTTCATATTTTACTGGATAAAAAGCAAGGAATCTTGTTTTCCAGCAAAGAAAGCAAGGAATCAAGCAAAGAATCTAAGTGAACAGATCCCTTCTAATAAAGTCCAAAATGTTCTTAAATGCTCCAGCAGTTTCTTGCATATAATTAGTATATGGCTTAATATCTGATGAAAGATTAGATACCCTAAAGTCCCATAGCAATTATTATTTATTAACACTTCTTTTCTAAGTCTACTTTAGTCATTATTTTATGTTGTCATATTAAAGTCTGTAATCTAATTTTGTGAACTAGAAGTTACAATATTTCATGGCAGGAGAAAGGAGAAAGGTGATTCAGACTCCAGCTGACAGGAGGAGTGGTCTGTTGCCGATATATTATAAGCCTCCAGGAAGATATTATTGAAAACGAAAAAAAAAAGTATTTAAAATAATATAGGGAATAATTATCGTTGATAAAATTTTAGCTAGCCTCTTGGTGTTGTGAAATAAACAATGGTTATGCAGTACTGCTTTCCCTTTTGATGAATTATAGTGCAGGTACAGACAGTTTCAGAGATTATGCTAAATTCAATTTAAATACTAAATTATAATTTATTTTAATTGCATTTGGTTCTGGACACTATCAAGGGCAAACATATAAGGAAAAAACATTAAAACCGCACAAATATTTTTTATCACCTGAGCAGAAACTTACAATAAGATGATATTAAGCAAATACTGACAAGTAGCTTAGAAGGTTTGGAAAGTAACCCCCTTCTCTATCCCCACTTGCAACCCTGACCTAGTTCACTCTCAGAATTGCCATCTTCAGGGAATCTTTTTTTTTTTTTTTTTTTTTTTG